TCCCTTCATGTCCATCCAAAAAATATAAAAGAATGAAATGTGCAGACTGTAAGGAACTGCTCGCAGTCCAAAAATTTATACATGTCGAAGTCCTATTGCTAACTTTACATGTGGTCTGCGAAATTGATAAAAATAATTTACTAAATTATAAACAATTTTTTTGTAAACAATTTAAGAAATAAACAAAATATTTATTTAATACTTTATTTAATAATTTAAAAGATTTTGCAAAAAAAATTTTTATTATTTTTTTGGGAGGATCAGCACTTTACAACAGGGCTTCGATCTCGAATTTTTAAAAATCCGCAATTTCGATCGAAAAAATCCGCATTTTATATGAAAAATCCGCAAAAAATTATCAAACACAAAAATTGAATTAAAATCACTTCATGCGTTATATTTTTTGACTCAAACAATTGAAGTGAGCAGTTTTTTCACTACTAAAGACTCTTATTAAAATCCGGACAATTAATTGAAAAATTACAGTTGACTTGACCAATGCCTTCACCGTCCCTTGTTGTAGTGAATTGTTTACTGGAAGAACCTTTTTTTGCGCCGCAGGCGATAATTTTGGAAATTTTTAAAGACCAAGAAGCCAGCTTTCTTCCATTTACAGCGCCGCAGGCGAAAATTTTTTTTAATTTTGGAATCCTTAAGCTAAAAATCGTCCTTTTCTGCGCCGCAGGCGAAAATTTTGAGGATTTTTGAAGGCCTTAAGAGAAAAAAATGACATTTTATTCTAAAAACTACATGAAAATATAAAAAATCCTCATAATCTTCAAAAGGCCACAAAAATCCGCAAATCCGCAAATTTAAAAATAATCCTCATCGCCCTATCAAAAAACCACAAAATGAGGAAAAATCCGCAGAAATCGAAGCCCTGCTTTACAATCTAATAAATTTTACTTTTGCATATTTTTAAGCAAGTCAAGTTGAACTTCTAAACAATGCTTTGGAACAACTTCGGAACAAACCATCAATTATTTATTTGATAGATTCATTTCAAAAATTAACATATTGTAAAAGAAGCGTATATATGAATAATGAACAACGTAGAACTGTGGAAAAAATTGCAGAGGCAGATAAAAACGTGTTATTATATAATTATAACAATGATGAAGATAAAATTAAATATATTAATGCATGCCTCAGTGTAAATTTTTAATTTTTAAGGAAATAACGGGGAAACACATTTTTGAAATTTTCTATTACACTAACTATAACATTTTGTGTTTTAGAAAATTTACATGTGACTGATTTTACGTTAATCTCAATAATTTACGTTAATCAATTTACTCTATTTTGGTTAACTCTTTCCTAATCTGATGTTACGTTAGCCTTGTGTATTTTTACAGTTCATGTGTTTATCTTTTTAAACAATACAATTCTTTTCCACATAACTCTTGAGGCCTGTTATTCCTGGCCAAATTTCTGCCATAAATGTTTTAGTTTATTGGTTAGTAGTTAGATAAAAGTCGGACCCTCAAAACTCATTCCAGGGATAATTAACGTTAATTTACCATCTTTCGGAGTAATAATCATTATCTTACTTTTAAATATAATAACTACCTATTAATACACCAGGGATAGCTCGTCTTGACATTACAGACCGGACTGGGAGTATCGTACGTGAATCGAGATCTCGGTTCTGTCCCTACTTGACATTGCTTACTTACAATTTTAAAAGAGTAATATGAAATAGAGTTTTACTTTATAAAATAGAGTTTCTATAGTGTATTATATTTAATAATATAACAAATAATATTTTAGTTATATGGTATTGAGTATGTTGGAAATGATAAAAAAAGTGAAATATGTTTCGAACGTGAAGATAATTGTCCTTTTTTAAATAAATACCTTGGAATGTATTTTTATTTTGATGGAGCTAAAAAACAGGAACAAGAAACTGGAAATTATTCGGAGGAAGAAAGTGGGAATAATGAAGGTGAAAATGTAGAATCTGTACAAGAGACCGAACATAATGAATCGGAAATTGGAGGGTCTGATCAGCAAGGTGACCATAATGAATCTGAAAATGAAGGGTCTGCCAATGAGCAGCAAAGTGAGCATGGTGGCCATGAAATCGGAGGTTCTTCACATCAATCTAATGTTATGGAAGATGAATATGGAAATACACACTTTAATGATGAGCATGGAAATCACCACATTTATGATATTCATGGAAATTACTACGTTTATGATGCAAACAATAAATTAATTTACTTTCAACCAGGTCAACCTTGAATTATCAAGGGAGTAACTTCTATATAATTTGTAATTATATATTTTATATTAAAATTATAGATTTTATTTTTGGGATATATCCTTATTTTGAGTATCATTATTATGTATGGTTAATCATTATTTGCCGATATTATTCCAAGAAATACTTGATTTAATTGAAAAAAACTAAATATTCTCACTTATCATGAAAGGCAGACGATGCAATAAGCAATTGCATCTAGTTTCAGACTACTAATTTATTTTGAAAATGTTTAAAGAAATCGTTATTTCCTAACAGATTTCTGATCTAAAAAGATAATTTTCACAAAAAGGGAAAATTTCTACTAAGAGTGTAAATGTGAATCGTAATTCAATGATTAATAATGATATTTAAATTAAAGGTTTTTGGGTTTTATTTCATTTTTTTTTATTTTTGGGGTTTATTTACCGTATTTTCTCTAAAATAACCCCCGGGGGTTTTTTCGATCGCCCTCTAGAGGGGAGGGGTAAGTTTTGTTTCCGCCCCCCCCCCTTTTTCCCGTTTCACTGACCATTTTGAACTTTTTTGTTTAATATATAGTTTATATCATTCGAAAGAACTCTTCGAGATTTGTTAAATGATACCCCAAGATCGGCTAAATTTGATGATTATTACCAAAATTATGAAGCTAAATCATTGCTGGAGGGGGGGGGGGCTATTTCAGAGGGTGAAGGTTATTTTAGGGAGGGGAGTATTTTAGAGAAAATACAGTATTTGTTGGAGGGTATTATTATTTTAGAGATTATTTACAGGGGTTATTTAATTCCAACAATTTATATACCGTAATAACTATTATTAACTACCCTGGGTAATTATTGTTTTGATCTCCCTCTACATGGGGTATTTAATACAGGTGGGGTAATTAATTCAGGGAGGGACATTAGTACAGTTTTTACGGTATACTCTTTTATTTTTATAAAGTTTAACATAGAATCATTTTTCAAACAAAGCGTGGCACTAAAAAATTTAAAATTTAATATTAAAAATTCTCCCAGTTTAGTTAAAAAATATTTAATTAGATACGAGAATTCTATATTTTTGGGGTCACGCTTGTTATTTTTCCACAAAATTATTTTTTAAGAAATCAGCAAGGGATATGCACAAATTTTTTTTGCTTACAATACTCAAAAATATTTTTTAGAAATAATTAAACTAAAATTATTACTAGCTCATTTTTTAGTCTAAATTCACAGGAGATTGAAGAGAAAATAATATTAAATTATTATATGTATATACCTACATAGTTTTTATTCAATTTTTGAGTTTGTAAGATTTTTTTATTGTGCTCATTCCTTGCGTTCTCTACAAAAATTGCGAAAGAAATTTTTTTATTTAATTTAAAAATGTATTTACAATTTTTTCATCATCTTTTTGATCTTTATTTAAATATTTTTTTCCTTTCACTCCTAAAATAATTTTTGTTATTTTCAGCCTTTGACCAATCTACATCATCCTTTTTATTTTATAAAATTTTAAATTACTATTATCAATCTTTATGGTTTTTGTTAATTTTTAACTCTGAATATTTTTGTGTGGTCCTCTAATATTGGGAAAAATTTGCAAAATTTCCAACAAACTAAATTTACTAAATTATTCTTAAATTCCTTTAAAATTTTTAAAATTAATTAAAATTATTCTATTTTTTTAGTTTTAGAGATTGTATTTAGTATATTGATTTAAAATTAGTAGTATTATATAATTTTTGATTGGATAAATTATTTATTTTTAAAATTTGTTTTTTATTAATTTAAAATTCAAGTTAAAATTATTGTTAGAATTTGCTATAATAGTAAAAAATTGAAAAAATTTTTGACAATATTTAAATAACAAATAAAGTGGGGATAAAAGTTATATTATTTCATTGCCTAAATGCTACCCCTACACCTCATAAGCTTACATCTTTAGTCGAAAAGGTGTATTTTATGGTTTAACCTAATATCGAGCAATTTTCTTAGCTTTTTCGATGAATTTTCAAGTAAAAAATTCAAAGTACAAAAATTTTAATAAAATTTGATAAAAGGTAACTTTATGTTATTTTCATGAAATTATTTAAATGATATCCGGAACCAAACTTTTTATCAAAGTAATGAAGTTTCTTCGTTACGTAGGGTCACTGAATAATTTTCTGTGAGACAAATCTATTGTAGCGGATAAAAATATTGTAAGGCGGACGCAGGATCTTTCATTTTTTGCACCGCAAAAAATATTGAGAATTTTGGGAGGCTCTATTAATTGCGAAAGAAGGAAGTTCTGTTAAAATCATTTCTACGCACAAACTAGACCAGAGACAAAAAATTGTCTTCAGTCTTGTTATTTATTTTTGATCTTGGAGTCAAGTCTTGGTCTTGTGCAGTATTTAATGAATCATAACTTCGTCTGAAGTTGTTGAAACAATAATTTTGATACCATTCGATTTGGCTCGACTAAGCTCGAAATCGATGAATTCTCAGGACCATGTCAATCCAAGGAACGGTAGGCTTCCTCCTATTATATCAGGGCCTTTTCCTAAATTAATTCATAAATTAAATAACCATAAATTTTTAGAAATAAAGCTCCCAAGCAGACGTGGGCGAAACGTTTCGTTTCGTTTCGTTGTTTCGTATGTTTCGTATGATTTTTACTGTTTCGTCTCGTTTCGTTACGAAACACTTTTAAATTTGTTTCGTTTTGTTTCGTTACGAAACACTTAAAATTTTTCAACGAAACGAAACAATTTTTATTGATTTTTTTTAGAAAAATGACTAGCAATAGCAAATACACAAATTATTTTATATTTGAAAAAACTAAAATTTCCTGTCGGCAAGAAAATTGTGATTATTTTTATGCACCGAAAAATGAAAGTGGTTTTCCAACGACTTCTTTGCGTAAACATTTAGAGCGAAGGCATCCATCAGTGTTTTCTGAGCTCCTCCAATTCGAAAAATCAGAAAAAGAGATGGGTGATGGAACAGAAAAACTTAAACAGACAAGTTTAAAAAGAATATTTTCCATTTCTGCCGGTTCGGCTTCAACATCCCAAGGAATGACAACAACAAAACAGCCGAAAATAGAAGAATCATTTAGTAAGAATTAATCAGATTTTGATATATAATAAATTTTTATTTAAGAACAATGGACAGCAGATGGTGAAATGACTGAAAGAGTTGATAAAGCAGTAATTTCCTTGATATGTACTGCTGGTCTTCCATTTTCTTTCGTTGAAGAGCCAGGTTTCAAAAATTTGTTACATATTCTGCAACCACAATACAAAATCAGGTTTTTTGAATTAACATTTTGAGATTAATTTGAAATTTGAGGTCAAGAAAATTTTTTGTATATGAATCATTGCCAACTATGTATCAAGACATGGTGGATGTTGTAAAAAAAGATGTTTTTTCTGCTCCTTCTGTTTCATTGTGCATTGACTCGTGGTCCTCAGAAGAAAACTCTCAAATAATAAGGCATTCAGTGGCAGGTAATACTTGACCAGACAAAACGGCCGACAATATTCCGTCTTACATAAACTGCATCCAGCCAAAAGTCCGACCAAGACTTCGTCCAAAGAGAAAAATATGCATTTTTCACTGGGTGGGGGTCCTTTTGGCGCGAGTAATGCTATTTTTCTGTGGCATTTTGTCGTTTGGCATTTCCGATCTCCGACTTCAGAAAATTAGGTTGATTTCCGATTTCCGATTTACGTCACCTTCGTCATTTCTGACCCACCTCTGATCGCATGGAATCCGCTGAGTATTAATTTTTCCTAATCCGCCGAATCTGATACCCCTAAAGTTCGAAAATTAACATTAAAGATCACAAACCTCCATTGGACTTATAAATTAGACCTGAGCCAAAAATTCTAAAAATTTTATAAAAAAGTTCGCATCAGTAATTATTATTTTCGTATTATTTTTTATAAAGACAAAATTAAGTTTTGACTTTATAAACTAATAATGTTTGTATACTCGAATTTCGATTCACTAATAAAATATATTCTTACATTGTCTATATTCACTGATTTTGTTATCTTATTTAATTTTAGTGTTTTACTGACTAAAATCCACAGCTCTTTATTCTAAAAAATAGGAAAATGCGTTTGCGTTTTCCATCAATTTTGTTTCTAATTTTTTTGTTGACCACGGTCTGTGGAATGGAAAAACAAAAAAAGAGTAGATTTGGTCGTTCAAGAAAATTAAAGCGTGATGAACCCAAACAAATGTCTCTTGGAACAACCGATTCTGGCGACACAATTATTCGGAATACTCTGAATAAAGGAGTAGAAACGCTTACAAAAGGATTTAAAAATTTACTTGGAGGAAAAAAGAAGGAGAAGGAAACCACAAATAAAGTTTTTCAGAGAAATTTGAGTGAATTGGTTCCGTATAGAGAAGGTATAAATCTTAAATTACACGAAATTTGTAAAATTAAATAATTAGATAAGAATAATTTTCACGAACAAAATTTTAACAAAACACAATGAGATTCATAATTATTAATTTTAAAAATTTTGAAAACTTTATTTGTACATATAGTGAATTTTTATAATTTTAGTTTAATCCTTCAATCTTGTAAATTGTTGTAAGATAGATATTTATATGCGTATTCTTGCGGTACCCCCATTTCCCGGTACAGAGTCTCAATGAAAATGTCATTTATAGACTTTGTTCTTCTTACTTTTCTATTCAATATCAATGGAAATTCTCACAGAAATTTTAGAACCTTAAGAAATTAAAAAATCTTAGGTGGGGTTATAATTATGTTACACACTGTTTCGGACTTTACAAGAGGAGGTTTATTACTTAAACTCATTTACTTACCCTTACTTGGAGGGTATGTAATCGAGGAAATACGGTAAACAGTTGTAAGGCTTTAAAACCCCAAAAATTAAAAGTTATGCCGACAAATCATTTTAATAAAATGTTGTCTTTAAAAAATGGAATACCAAACTTTTCTTAACTTTATAAATTTAAGGCACGTTCCTTTTCCACCAGACATGGGCGAAACTCGATTTTTTTTTCGAACGAAACGAAACGAAACAAAATTTTTTAAAAATCGTTTCGTAAACGAAACGAAACAGCCAAGATCTTACGAAACGAAACGAAACAAAACGAAACATTTTAAGTTTTAAAAAATTTTCAAAACCGCATTTATTTCGCAATTATTTGAGCTCAAACATTTTATTAGCCGAATATGACTTAGTATAAATGATCAAGTTCTTGGTTTATTTACAACAATTGTGGTCCCATAAGCCAGGCCCGTAGCCACTATTTTTGCTCCATTCCCTACCCAAATTGTCTCAATATCTCCATTTCGTGAAAAATGGTATATAAGATAGTGCTTCGCCGAAAGTTCCAGTTCCGGTATTTTCGCAACTCGCAATCTGCAATTTTTAAAAATGGAGATAAAGGAATTAAATCACTTCAAACTATAGTTAAAATTGTATGTATATGAGCAAATAATGGTGAAGTGTCAATAACATTTCGGAGTTTTCTGGTAATAAACTCTTTCCGGCAATAGAATTGTCGTCGATAAGTAATAATATGTGGATTAGGGAGTGGAGTATAAACGGATTTGTAGTATATAAGTGATTGATATCGGACAATAAAAGAGGTTCTGAATTGTTAAGGAGGATTTAAGGAATATCAGTCTTCAATTTTTAGCGCCGTAGGCAAAAATTTTGAGAATTTTGGAATGCCAAGAAGCCGAAATTCTTCCTTTTTCAGCGCCGCAGGCGAAAATTTTTAAAATTTTCAACAAAAGATGGTAAATTTTTAAAATTTTGGCTTTAGTTTAGGCCTAAAAAATTGTTTCGTTTCGTTGCAAAATCACAGGTGTTTCGTAACGAAACGAAACGAAACAAATTAAAAAGTGTTTCGTGACGAAACGAAACGATACTCAAAAAAACCCACGAAACATACGAAACAACGAAACGAAACGTTTCGCCCATGTCTGTTTCCCACCCATTATAGCCTATCTGATTAAAAAAATGCGTATAAACTTAAACATTAGGTTTAAGTAAAAGTTAGCTAATTGTGACTTGTTATTTATTTTTTATCAGATAAAAAAATTGATCATGATAAAATGATGAAGAAATTAGAAGAATATACAGAAGCAGATTATATTAAAGAATTAAACAATAAAATTGAATTAACTAACGGAATTAAAGATGAAATGAATAAATATTTTGTTGATAAAGATAAATCAGAGAAAATAATAAATGAATTTAATGAATTTATTAAAATTATAAATGATTTGCGGATCGGAACAGAAGAAGTGAAAAATGTAATACTGTTTAAAATTACAGGACATTTGGAGAATGAGAACGTTTTGATTGAGGAAGAAAAGCTTGATGAAATAAAAACTGATATAATACATTATGGCCAGACTGAAGATGAAACATTTAAAGAGGTTAATGTTGTATAAATCATTTAGAATTGGGTAGGGGATCATTGTGTACCGGCCGTTTGTGTACCTGGCCATATTTTGGGCCATAACTTTTTCAATTCTTAATTGATTTAAATAAATAATATATCAATTGAAAGCCCTGGATGTGAGGATTATTTTCGCCAACAGGATCGATTTGATCAGATAATCATACAAAAAGTTACAGACAGATAAAGATCAAAATCACGATTGAGCGCATTTATCGAGATATAACTTTTTATAACATGATCTGATCAAATCAATCCTGTTGGCGAAAATAATCCTCACATCCAGGGCTTTCGATTGATATAATAATAATTGAAGTCGGTTAAGAATCAAAAAAGTTATGGCCCAAAATATGGCCAGGTACACAAACGGCCGGTACACAAGTGGGACGTTCCGTTTAGAATTGTGAAATTTTTTATTTAATTCTGGATACTTATTTAATCCCCCCCCCCGTCCAAATATTTAGTTGATGTAAAAAATGGTCAGCCATTTTTTTGTATAAGTTCTTTGCATAAGTTTGGACATGGGTTCAATATTTGAAGTTAGGGAGCTTTAGCCAATGAGAGGGGAAACAAGGCATCTCTAAAATAAATAATAAACCTACCAATATTCCGACTTCCGTTTCTTGAAATGAAGAAGAGCCAATCCTAATTTAAAAATAGATTTACATACTATTAATTTAATTATTTATATTTTATTTCATTTATAATTTAGATTGCAACTAAAGAGTAAGTAGAATTTTATATTTTTATAAAATATTTAATTTTTTTTAAAATTTTATTAATAATTTTAATATATAAATAAATATTATTAGTTTTAATATTTTAATAAAAATTAATTTTTTAAATAAAAGAGTTGAATACAACGAGTTGTATAATAAGTTGATGAAGACTGAAAAATATTGGTTAAAAGTCAAAGAAAGTGATAATTTTAATACAAAAATGTCTAAGCATCAAGAAGAGATGGAAAAAATAATTAACGATTTTAAAGAGTTTAATTTAGCATATTTATCTGAAAGTAAACTTGTTAAAAGAAAATCTAAAGTTATTGAAGATGCGATATCAGCAAGGTCTCATTCAGGAGAACTTAGTCAATTTTCTGGAGAAAGCGAGGAAATGGGAAATCTTGAGAATATTAGCGAACATGGTGGATATGGATCTCCATACAGTGCTAGTGGATCTGCTAGATGTAAAAAAATTTAAATATTAAATCGTTCGGTTTTATAAAAGCCAATCTTTCCAATCAGTCATTTACTAAATTTTTAAGATCTAAAATCTAAAAAAAGTTCTACCGATAAATATCGCTACTCTAACAAGAGGGCAGGGATGTGCGTCATGGCGTTTTGGCGTGACGTTTTGGCGTTTTGGCGTGATTTTTGGCCGATTTTGGCGTGCTGGCGTTTGGCGTGATTTTCAGTTTTTGGCGCGCCAAAACGCCAAAATTATACACACCTAATGATGGGAATTTTCCAAATAAATGGGGGAAGTTTTTCAAAAAAATGAAATTTTTTTGCCCACAGCCTTCCAAAAATTTCAAAATTTGCGCCTACGGCGCACAAAAAAGGAAGAAATCTACTTATTAGCTTTCAAAAAATCACGAAATTTTTGCCTGTGGCACTAATAGAAGGCCTGTGACACTAATAGAACTTAATGCACTTTTCTTCAATCC